TCGTAAATTTTTTGGTCGAGGAAGTGGCAAGACATGGCCAGCGGCGCTGCTACTTACGAGGAAAGTACTTTCAATGGTCGTGGCCGTTTGATTTGGGATGCATATCTCCTAAAGCAGCTCCGAACGCTGATTTTATATCTGCTATCCTTTTCTGCGGAACGCTCTTCTGAAGAGAGTTATGGAAGCCTAATATCCATATATTCAATATTCATATACATGAGAATTGCGCAGAGGTTGTCTTCATGATCTGTTCCCATTGTGAGAAATGCCTGTGTTTTGCCCACTTAATTTAGCTTTACCTGTGCGCATAAATATTTTCCGGAAAAAAACCAAACCTCAATAAGCAGCAAGTAGATCTACTAGAAAATTTTCTTCTTAGGTCGCATGTACTAAAGGCATTACAACAAGTGTATGCAAACGATTTAGAGTGTGTCTAGTAAATTCACGCTCAAGATGCAAAATGGTTCGCTTTGCAGATTTGAACGTCAAGCTCTCGCCTTCAGTGCCAGCGACTCCCGCCAGAGTGCCGAAGTTATGCCAGCGCTACGCCAGCATTTCGATCGATACACATGTATTTCGTTGGGGCGGGGCTAGCTCAGCAGGTAGATGTTCCCAACGAAATACACGTGTATCGATCGAAATGCTGGCGTAGTGCTGGCATAACTTCGGCACTCTGGCGGGAGCCTATGCCACGCACGTAGAAGCGTTCTCGAACTCAAGAAGCGCCCCAAAACAGGATATTCGGGCTTCCATAACTTCCTACAGAAGAGCATTCCGCAGAAACGGAAAGCAGATTTGAAATCAGCGTTCGGAGCTGCTTTAGATGATATGCATCTTATATCAAACGGCCACGGCCATTGAAAATACTTCCCTTGTTAGTCTGTTGGGAGTCTATTGACCATGCTGGACGGCACATTATGCTTTTTACGAAAACTTCATTGGATGTTTACGGTGTGTGTACTATGGGAGACTCAATCAGGAGTTTGTGTTCTCGCTCACTTTCGATGGATTCATCATCTAACCACCATTTTCACCCTGATGAATGCTAGACTTGCTTCATCCTAGCTTTTTGCAAACCGTTGTTGAAAAAGGAAGTTGAATGTACTCGAAACCGAATTTCGACTTATCACTGCTGAAACTCGGTTCGAATTGAACCTCGATTTCGAAGTCACGATTTTTTAACGTGCCTCACAGCTATGACCTATTAGGCTGAGTTTTTTTTTTTCTAGTTGAACGTACTCATTATGTTGGTGGACATTGCCTTGCTATATGCTACAAGGTGTTCTAGGTCAAGTTGTGATCAGTCAAGAGTTTATTCATGCCAATTGTTGTCCGTTCGTTGTTAGATTGACTAGAAATTTCAAAGTGAACGTTTGTGATGATTCGTTCAGCATTTATATACAGGTAGGGAGGTGTGGAACAACATCATCACTAAACGAAGAAGCGTTTAGGCAAAGACTTGGCTTTGCAAGAATGAGTGGCAGTGTTCCACTTCATACAGCCCAAAAATCCATATCTCAAATTTCGGTGAAACTTCTCAAAGGAATAGGGACTTATCTGATAAATTGAAAACAATATCATGTCAATCCCACACGATAAGGCTTTTTTCTCACTCTAATACCCCAAGTAATACCTTTGTGCGTCGGGCTTATAGCATGCGCTTTACGTGACTGAGTAAGATCACTCTTTCAACGCGTCACGAGAAAGACGTGGACGGCATGTTAGAGTACCCCCCCCCCTGGCGAAATCTACCATATCTATTCACAGTAACCCTTCGCGAAAGGCTTTCCCTTACGAATAAATATCGTCTTCGTTCAGCATGTCAATAAAGCCCACAATGCTAGCCTTCTACAGCCCATTGTAAACGAAATGTGAGCGAAACTCAAGTCCCAATTCGAAAACGCGCTCCAGTGACAACTGCCGTTTCGCAGCATTTAAGTTCTTCCTTCAATGTTCTTGTATGAGAGCAAAAATCTTTATTTTTGAACCAGGTTAAATTTTGCGCACATGCTCTTCGGAGTGAAGTGTCTAAAAATTTCGTGTCATACCAATTCCTAATCTTTCGCAAATTTAGAAAGAGAACTGGGAAGAGATTCAAGTGAAGGTCTGCCGTTTGCGAATAAAGAACTTGACTTGTCTCTCACTTATTTCCACTGTTGTTAGATGAAGGCAACAATACCATGGTAACTATTATCGATTCTGTTGATCTTACTTATGCTTTGAGCTACTGGGATATGGGGTGAAGTGAGCATGTTGACTACCGCTCTCTCAACTGCTTATGAATGTTCAGTGCTTTTATCGAACTTGTCAATTCTCACATTCTTTGTCATGGCAAACCCAGAACTGGCGTCACGGTGAGTCAGCAAAGGGACGTTTGCTTTCATCACCGACGATTAATATTAAGTTGTCCTAAAAGTAAAAGCATTTCTGAATAAATCAAAATGTTTTTGTTTTCCTGGCAGACTTGGGGTACCATTCGATAGAGCGAAGCAAGCTCCACACAATGACCGCAAAAGATCCGTTTATGTCGTAATCCAAGTAAAGTTTAGGGCAAAAATCGAAAAAAAAATTTATTATCTGAAAATTGTATTTATGCGAAGAATACTCGTACGGAATTCAAATTTGGTCATTATATAGCAGACACATAGTAGTACTCAAGTATGCCTTTACTGGATTTTTTCCGAGCTTAGAAAGCGAGAAAAAAAGAGATAGTCTGAAAATGGCAAACTCCACCCCAGCCCCTCTTACATATGTCATTGTATACTATAAGCCTTGCTGAGTATAACCTTAAAACTTTATTCCTGTGGGTGTTCTTATAATCGAGAAATACTCAATTTTCCATGAAAAACCTGAAAATAGTGACATTTTGGCATTTTGAGACCATCTTTGTTTCTCAATTTTGAGCTGCGGAAAAATTAAAAGTATTTTTGGGTACTACTATGTGTCTACTATATAAGGACCAAGTTGGAAGTCCGTAGGAGTTTCTTGGAAGGTGATCCGACTTTTAGAGTAGCTGGAAAATTTTGCTTTTGGAGCCAAATTTTACCTAGATCGCGACTTAGACGGTTGTGTGGAAGTCATTTTGTAAAGCTTGCTTCGCTCTCGAATATTGCCCCAAGTCTGCCAGAAAACCAAATACAATTTGATTTATTCAAAAATTTAACGGTTTACTTTTGGGAGGACATAATATATGTTGGCCCTGATTACTGACTCATCAATTTTTTGAGCTCCTGAGAAGCGGCAAGAAAGCGAATTATGAGCTTTTTTAGAAAGCTCTATTGGCATGCGACTGATTATGGAAAGACGTCCTATTAGTCATAAATCTGCCCGGAAAGGGGGGGGGGGGATATCGAAATATCAAAATGAGTCATTTGCTGTTGATTGGGAACATTATGCATTTGAGTCGTTATCGGGGATCGATACCTTAACATCGGGAAGGTGACCAACCCGCAAATTTCTCAAGACAAAGCTCATAACTTTTTTCAAAAAAAAAAGCTTTTTAAGCTGATTCCGATTACAAGTGTGCTTTCTAAAAGGCTAGAATAAGTTAGGCGCCTTCCCACATAAGTGAAAAATAAAACACTTTCATTTACAAATTGTCATTATCATGGCATTGTTTTTAGAAGGTTTGTTTTTTCATGGTGATTATTTTGCCCATAATGATCGGACGATCGGTGCGAAAGATAATGCGCTTATTTTTATTAAATTGGCAGTTCGATTATTACATGGCTTATTGGCACTCTGATTTGAACTCTTTAAAGGTGGAGCACGTGAATGCGTGCCAAATACACATCCTGCAAAAAGCACTCTTTCAAAGGAAGATTGGATAGTGAGGACATTTGGAGAATGAATTCAGTTACTCTGAGCAGAAGCATATTCGTTTTTTCGATAATGGTGGACGACAGTATCAAAACTTTTCAGCTTTACACTAAACCATTGAGGCTGGTTGTAATTTTTCACTACCACATTTCAATCTAGTCGCTTTAACCCATGCTGACCGCACTGTAGCAGCGAGCTCTTGAGACCACTCATAATATCATTGTGCAAATTGTAAAGTAACAACCAGGCAGCTTTGGATATTATCTCTTCAGGACAAAAGATATGCCATCAAGCGTAAAACACACATTATTTATTCCTTTGAACCCAAGCCAGCAAGTGCCTCTTTTCCTAGCCAAGATCTATCAAGTTTTTAACGCTGTATTATATGCAAGGTACCCCCATTTTTCCTCATTTCTGCGAACTCTAATCCGATCATTTTGCTTCACAGCTTTCGACTAAAAAATCACTTTTTCTAGTTTTTGTTCTTCATAAAAACATTCAAAAAATTCTTTTGATTCGGCAACATCAAAAAACTCAAAAAATCCAAATGTTCTTTCATACTCACCATCAGAAGGAGCTGAAACTGCGAATTTGCAAATTCAGAAAATGATGCCCACTCCCAAAAACACCGCTCAAAAGAAAGGAGCAGCGAAGTACTGCTACAGTATGCGCTGGCATTGTTACTGATTAAAGGAAAAGTTGTAAAATGTAATAAGTATGAATGCCCCATTAATTTCCGTCTACCGTGACTTTTGCATCAAAATAAGGCCCGTATGCACTAACATTTCTGCGGCGAGGGGAGCGGCGTCCCCCGTTATGAACGGACTGCGTGCGGACGCCGCTGCGACTTTTTCATCATTGGGGACGCCGCTCCCCTCGCCGCAGGGATGTTAGTGCATGCGGCTCTAAGAGTGTTATTAAATTGTGAAATTATGTACGTACAGTCGAGTAGATTTAGCGGTAAATATAGTGTGCTTGCACAGAAGGTGAAATGCGGTAAAACTGGCGCGTGAAGAAATAGTTTCGACTGTGACGCCGGCCAATTGCGCGATCAAAATACCCGCGGTACTGACGTGGCTACTTGTTCACGCGCAAATTTCACCGCATTTCACCTCTGTGCAAGCACAATTACAGCAAGCCTGATGACTCACTTTTCTGTTTGACACTTACTCCGAATGTATACATATACACCGATAAAAACACAATTTATTGAACAATCAGTAAAGGCGCATGCGCAATATGTAAGTGCGAATTAAATTCAGCATAATGTATAGCTGTTCCACTTCATTCGTTAGGGTTGGCACAATAGTTATCGGTATCGCACGAATTCATCTGGCAAATGTAACGCTTGGATACATTTCTGCAGTGAATATTTTGCCAACCAAGCTGCAAATGCGGGTTCTTAGTGTACCGAGAAACGATTCACTTTCGAATTTTGTTAAAAAAAATTAGGCAGAGCCAACCTCGAAGCTGGTAGAAGTCTGAGCTGTGAGCACGCATCTTGCATCTCCATTCAGAGATGGGAAGCCCTTGTTCCACTTTCGGAAGTCAGATCCTTCCATCTGCAAGCATACCGACGTCAAGCTCAAAATCTTAAGAGAGGAGATTACTTACAGGAATCTTTGCTGGTTCTGAGCCTTTAGGCTGCTCCCAGAAGTAGCCATTCTGCGCGGTGTCATAAGAGAGACCAATGTGGTACATGTATGGGGATTCCATCCTGTAGTCATTCTTGAACATATCTTAAAAAAACTCCCATCATTTAAAACGAAGGTATTGCTCAGCCAAAATTTAGTGAGTACTTACGCGCGATGAAGTTGTGCTTTGCGTTATCGAGAACAGAGGCAAGATGACCCGATTCATGACCTATCCTGATGCAAGCTTGCTTGGCCAAGTTCCAGTTTGAGTCAATTCCACCTTAACAACCAGGGGTTTACAAAGATCTTAGGTATTCGCAGTACTTTCGTACCAATTCTGAGGCAAGAGCCGTATTTTATTGTGTCAAGAGTGTACTGGAGCCATTGCTTTCTGCAGAAGCAGTTAACTGAAATGCTCGACTACTTAGCCAAAACTCTTAGCTCAGATCTGACCCTACTTGCACAAAGCGCGTGCTGGACTTCGCCGGAAAGGTTGGGTATCACATTTGTGAAGTAGAAGCCATCACTGGCAATCTGCAAAGAAGGAGTATATTTCTTACGTCCTCTGAGTTGCGTGTTCGCCACATACCTTACGGATTTGGTCTAGAGCATTAGGCTTGCCACCCTGGTCGAATGCAACGACGATGATGTCCTTTCCGCTGATCTTGATCTGATCTGCAAGCTGCTTGGCATCCTCGAAGTGGCTCTCCCTGAATGCGAAACAAGAACATGCAAAATTGAAAATGATTTCTCCAGAAGACTTACTTGTAAACACTGGCATAAATAATGATAGCTTCTTTGCAGTTGTCCCTGGATCCGTCTGCACGGCCCTCACGGAAGACTTGTTCAGCTTTCATAAGACCACTAAAGGGTGATATCACAAATATCAACACCATAATGTAATAATCTCTCGAGGTACTAACTCTTTCAAATTACTTAATGGGTCGTTTGCTCGTTGAATGTCCCAAATCCTCTCCAAAAATTCATCAGTGGATTTAAACTCGGTCAGCTTGTGTCTCTGCAAAAAAAAGAGATGGATATAGAATGAAGAAGGACACGGTTATAGTCCGTACTATTTCTGCGTTGGTTCCATATGTAACCAATCCAATTCGTGAATGGTGGCCTGAACCTTGCGTGATAGTCGTTGGATCGAATACCGTACCGAGGTTAGCTAAGACCTGTAAATTTGAGTTGTACGCATAAGTGTTTTGAATAGGTAAGGGCTGCTTTGTCAATTCTCAGCTCTAGGCAGATTCCGTAATCGAATAAAAAGTTTTTACCTGTGCGATGCCTTCCTCGGTCATTCCCAAAGAGGTGTCCATCACAACTACAACGTCGAGCCATAGTTTAGCTGGTGTGCAAGCGCACTCTCTTTCGTAGTACCTTTTTGCTGCGTCCAATTCGCTTTGAGCTCCAACGGTAAGCAGCAGTCCTAGGTGATGAATATGAGAAGAGATCGAGACTGTCGTGTTTTTGTTAAAACTTACCAAGAAGAAACGCACGGCTAAATAGATTCATGATTAAATCTTGGAAGAGTTCGCGAAGCTGTTAAGAACTGAAAGACTATGTATACATTGTTACAATGTTTCTTAACAATAGCACTGCTTTAGCAAGTGGGGAATGCTGAGAAGAGAAGAAAGCAAGACTGATGTTTAGCTGATATCAGGGTATTTATCTAAATCTGAAAGTGCCGTGACAAGGAGGCGTTGCAGAAGCTTTTATATCAGTCTTCCACGTACCGTGCTTACAGTTTTCGAGATGACTTCTGACATTACATGATGTCACGAGAAGCAGAGATAAGGGAGACGTGTGGATCCTCAAGAAATCACCAGGAATTGCTGTAAACGACGTCAAAAATGTGACTTTTACCGTTTCCGAGATAAGAGGTAGATAATTGCAACGAAATGCAATTTTTCTTGTAATAATAGAGTTAACTCTGATATCGTTGATATCGCGGCTCCAAATCGATAGAACGAAAGAACTGATTTGATGGTAATTTTGATGTTGTTGGTCGATAGCGTATCCATCTGTACAGAGACATAGCCAATGTAATCTTCTTTATCAAGAATGCTCGCGTCTCAATCTATTTTCCTTCATTGCAAAAGCGGTCGTGTTGCTAATAAAGTAGTAAATCGATTACTGCTTGAAATTCAACGTCTTCCTTCGACTTCGATAGTTTGTGCTGATGCAGATGAACATGGTAATTAAAACCTTTTACTTCATTCTGCTTGCTTCTTACTCATAAGTGTTTGCTGCTGATTGTTCTCAGAATCTAACTTTTTGAGTGCTTAGTCGTCATAGTGACAGTTGCCTTATCAAGAAAGAATCAGAGTGTTTTAACATATGGCACGCACGAATGATGATATCTCAACTTACGTTATTTTGGGGAATTCACTGACGAGCATTTGATTCCATGGTTAATCGCTGATAAAACAGCATATACGTTTTTGTTGAGTGACAGAATTCTGGAAAAGGTTTTTCAGAATCGCTCGTCTGTGTCTCTTCTGCGTAGGTTCCTTACTTTATGACGACGTAGTTGGTATATACAAGGACTTCCTGTCGACCAATCGCCTTAATTACCGTATATCAGAGACGTTGCCATTCTGCGATTACAGTAAGCAGAGTAAAACACATACATGCATGTTTTATTCTAGTATTCACAGGTGCCTAATATTTGGTGTAAACTAGAGCCTGATGTTGTAGTAATAAATGCTGCATCCTTGCCTTGCGCACGATTGAAAAATCATACAGGCATCGGCAATCTTTTCAAGTGTGACATAGTTATTGCATTAAAAATTTGGAACTATTGCCAACAGCAGAACATTGAGCTACTTGCTCATGGTTGAAACAGAGCGTAGTGCCTTAGTAGGTATAAGCACAGCTAATTTGAGTTTCTGCTATAAAAGTGTTGAGTAACTCCATTTCTGCGCTGCTACCGTACACTGCATAGGCAGCTCGCACGTCGTGCAAGGTACTACTTGAGTCAGTAAGATCTTCACTAGATTCAATTTCCGCTGCAGTCGTCAAGTTGGCACATATTATGCAAGTTTTTATATCACTGTTATCTTTGTGAATGTGACACAATCATTTCTCGATACTGTGGATCCAATAAAAGCTATGTAGCCATTTTTGCCAGATTTCGCCATTGCATGTAAAAGTTTGTGGCAGGTTACGGTATAGGGCGAAAGATCTCATGTTTTAAATTTTACGGAAACTTGGTCTAGAGGATTATTTGACATACTAATTTCAAAAATGATACCCCTTCTGCATCAAAGTCTTTCATGAGGTTAAAATATGAGTTTTCTTTAGCAAACAAATCATAATTTTCGTGTTCGGTTTCGATTCACACCTCTGTGCGGAATCTCGGCAAATTTTAAAGTTGCTGCTTAGTTACTGGTGGGAGCCCTTCATATTTGACGCATTCGACTTGCTAAAAGTCTTGAGGCGCCAGATCTCAATTTGTCCTCAAATTTTTCTTTTCAACTCAGAGCCCGTCACAGTTGGCATCGGGTCAAGCTTGATAGCTGTTTAAACCAAAAAGAAAGGCGATATTTTTTGTGGCGGAAAAGACACAAAAATTGTGACGTATTTTTAGTCGACGTTTCGTTTTCTGAGGCAATCCTGGTCCCAGCTCGTGCCGAGTCCTGTTTTAACCAATGAATTCAACAAATCAACCTCTAGCAACCTGCTGCTTGCTTCATTTCTGCTGGAAAATCGTAAAACCTCGACTTCTTAACTGAAGGTCGTTGATTTTTCTTCTATTATATCATCGAAGGCCAAATGGTTTGCGCGATCTTGTAGCTTACATCAAATATAAAAGCCCAAGAAAGCGCTATGTTTAAAAACAGAAAGGCTATAGGGAAACCTGTGGAGCTCGAATGCCTACCTCATATTCGCTTCGAATATTTGTTCATTGTAGACATGTAAATGTCAGCATATCTGACACGATCCTCTATGTAGATGGACAGTCAGTCTGAATATAGACATCATCTTTACCCATTCTCAAGGCTAGCCTTTCTCTAATTTCATCCTGCGCTCAGCTTCTCATCAATATACTAGCTACATGCTATCATAGCTGCAAGGCTCCGAGGATGACATGAGCTCCAAGATATCATTTTAACCTCGAACAACAACTATTGGCTATTCTCAGCAAGAAGACAGTGGCTACGATCATTGACACAAAGCTGCAAGGAATTTTTGTGTGCCTTAATGCTACAAACAAGTGTCATATAATTAGGTCGTTTTTGGTCCTAGTTCCAGCGTTGATATGTAATGGGAGCTAGCATGTGGCTAATACGTAAGCAGTTTCCATCCTGCCTGAAACGGGTTGTTCCAAAAATAGTTGCACAGTTCGACGCTATCAACTCTCGTTGTCTCAGTCACAGACATCATATTCGAAGGTGAACTTGAATGCAATAGGAAGCAAATCTTTTGTTGGATCCTCTTTGAAGATTGACATCTTGAAAAGCTTTATATTATTAATGTCATGATGAATTATAACTTCTGCAGTCAAAGTAAACATTTGTTGAATCTTCTGGAACTGCTTAGCTCTCTAAACCGGTCTTTATTGGCTCTTTTATTGACTGAAGGCTAAGGAGAGAGTGAGCGAGGAGTCCACGCCGCTGCGCGCAAGATTTGGTCACCCATTCGGCTTGCTTTATCATCCTGATCAAGGGTGGTCCTACACCAGTCTCTATCACTATGATGAAGCACCATGAGCTGATTGCTCTATACATTGTCAAAGATTCACCATCACAGCCTGAATGATGATAGGATAGCAATGCTAGAGGCTGGTCTCAGTGGTAGTATAATGTAAGCTTGTCAATGTTCAAGTTCTCCTGTAATCCTTTTTCCTCGTCTGTTCTTTTTGTAAAACCTTTCTTTCCATGTTTATCTTATTTATTTTTCATGTTAGTCCACACTGCGAATCATGACGCACCAAATGTAGTGTCAGAGCAGAAGCTCCTTAGCTTTTTCGCTTACTAGTTGACTTACCCGGCTCCGCCCGGCCCTGTCATTATTATATTCGTAATCAGCATGCTCTATTACCCCCTTGTGCCAACTCCCAGCCCCGTAGCTCAAATTTTGCAAAAAATCGATAAAATCGATATCGATCGATGACGAAAAGTAGCCTATGACACCCGCAGGGGCCCGATGTGTATGTGTGCCAAGTTTGGTCCGGATCGGTTCAGAAATGGAATTTTCTATTCGGAACATACGTACACACATACAGACAGACATACAGACAGACAGACAAACAGACATTCAGCTTTATATATAAGATTGTTCGCGCGTTGTTGGTTGTGTTAAATACCGAAAATAAGAGTGCGAAAAGAGAAAGCTCATCCAAAAGCCCCATATCTTGCGTTTGGAGGGTGAAGTAGTACTTGCTAATGATAAGATACCCTGTGGAACCCATGTTCTTGACTGTGTGGCATGCGTCGTTGCAGGCATGAAAACCACAAGCGGACAAGGCTCTCTCCCTAGAGGTTCTCGTCAAGCTGAACGAGAATACAAGTATTGGACAGCGTAAATTAAGAAATAAGGCGTTTTGACATCATTGAGAAAAAAGCTTGGACGACAGCTCGAATGGGAATCACGGTTTTGTTACGAAGACTTGGCATTCGTAACTTTTGCATTTGCCACTACAAAACGAGCTGTGACGACCGCGCAGAATAGGTCAACGGATTCGTAACCCTTGCCAAACTGAGCGCCAATTTGGTTGCAGTTATCTACGCGAGCAGGAATGGGATCAGGTGGAAAATAGTCCGAAGGCCAGCGAGTGTGTCGTTTTTACCAGTATGGTCATATTTCAAGTCGATCCTGCCGCATTGCATTTGGAAAGTGGTGTCAGTAAAACCTCTTTGGTGTTTACCAGGCTAATCTCTTCATGTTGTTCTTTCCATTCATTAAGCCTAATACTCTGAAAGGCAAAGGCTTAGCAGAGTTAGCAGTGTTGGAAATTTTGATATTATTTGAATGTTGACGCGCAGATCTATCAGGCCATTTCAAGGTTCTATTACCTTTTGTGAGCAGCATGAATATGGGAGTTTTAGGTACAAACAAGGTCCATATTCATTGCGATGCAAGGGGTGATGCAGAAATGACTAACAACTTTGCATTTTTGATTTGGCGCTGATTACATGCTCAAAAAATCATGTCGTGTCATTCACTTTAACTTACATGGGGCTGTCAGGATTATTGAAAGTGTTTGACGTTTGATGACAAATGAGGTGATAAGGCCTAATCGATAGCTCTGGCGAAGAAGAGCAATTGCATTGACGTAGTCTACACTAAGTTAAACGTCATAATTATTGATACACCACAAAAGGAGACTTTAGGTTAGTACAACTAAAGACATCACACCCTCGCCAAATGAGCTCAATCATGAAAAGCAGACGGCCAATACACCGAAAAAATGTGAAGAAAGCAGCTTAAACTTTTTAGAACTTCACCGTTTAATGCAATGTCCGTTCAATTCCTCGACTTCCAATTCCCAGGTCGTAGTCCCGAAATTGCACGGAAGAACGCAGAGCCATAACACGCTTTGTCTGAAGTTCTCTCTTAACTTGACGAGAGAACGCATGGAGAAGTTAGAGGTAGAGAGTTGTTGTGAAAACTACTGAGCATGACTGTGTGTCTCATATACTCTAGCGCTGAGAGCGCAGCTTCTGAGCAAGATTCCTCCGCTGGGCTCATATCCCAAAAAGGCTGATTCTTCTTGCTCTAAACCTTGAAGGCTACTGCATGACGAAGGCGCGGAAGCAGTATTAGTTGAGTAGGCGCGAAAGCGGCGCGAGCGTACCCTCACCGTTGTAAATCCTGCGCCGTATGCGCTCTGCGCCTAATAAAGCCGCGTTCGCGCTCTAATATATTGCGCCATCGTCATGCAGCAGCTTATATGTTGAGCCTGCTCATATGGAGGATAAATGGCACCCGCGGGCATTGCTGGCCGAGATGTTTATTGTCCGTAGCTTTCAAATCACCAACTTACCGTAACAATCCCTTCAATGCTGAATTTCATCGTCCTTGATATTCTAGTGAGAATGACTCGAAATGCAGGTATGGAATGCAGCAGGCGTAATTCGAGAGGACTTCCCGACATTCCTTCTGATTTCTGGTCTTGGATGTGGTGAATTCGCATTTCTCTCCGTAGAGTAAGGTTTATTTCTCAATAACAAAGGTATTGGCATTTCTGGGATCACGACTCGGCAGAGCTGAAACGTCAGGCTGTATTTCTATTTGAGAAAAGCAAAGAGGCTCCAGAATCCGGTCGGAGCTTCGTTGCAAAAAAATATATCGGAATCAACTTTACGATAAAAATTGTTCAAGACATCCTCAGTTTCAAGTCAAGGTCAAGACAGAGTTGTTGCTATGCTTCAATACGATCTGGCACGGCGTGGAATTCAAAATTGTGCCCCGTAAGTGAATTGATCACCATAAAAATGATATGGCGCCAAATATGGTGTGCAAATGAGCGTGAGAGAAACCTGAAGTCCAAAACCTGAAGTCATGAAAATTATGCGAAACAAAACTTGCCCAACTTTTTTCAATTAGCTGAGACCTTTTCAGCTGAGGAGCAGCTTAGCTGGACCCGACCTCACGTTTCTTTCATTATTTGTATCTTTGTTAAAAGTTTTTATACAAAACTTGACGGTTTTACACTTCTACTTCCTCTACGCTTTTTTCCTCAGAAGTTCTTATTGATGGCGGAATACCCCAAAGTGCGCTCTTAAGGAAATGTTTTATTTCAACGAACGCTCGGTATCCATTATGCTGCCATCGCTCCCTTTCGTTTTTGTGGTGTGCTATCCGTTCCGTCTTATTCACAGAGGAGAGAAAAGGGGGAAGAGGAAGGGAGGCAGAGGAAATGAGGGAGGATGGGGAAGTGGAGGTGGAGGAGTGGGAGGTGGAAAGAAGGAGACGAGTGGCTGAGCGATGGGTTTCAGACCTCGACCATGAAGTAGAACGCTCATCCTCAAACCAAAATTTTTCTGAAAATCTTGTGATTCAAGTGGTCAAGAAGGATTCCTGGATTCTTGCTTTTTTGATTTGAGTTCCAAAAGCTCTTTCCAAATTGCATATTTTCTAATTGAAAATGTCGCGACTTTGTCAAGAAACAACAAATATAAAACAAATTGTTCTACTGAAGTAAGCAAATATATACCTGCCAAGAAGTTAGCATGCCATTTGCGAGAGTCAAATGAGAGAGAAGAAAAAATTGGGAGAACTTTACGAGGTTTTCCTTGAGGCAATCTATTTGATATAGTGAGGCTCCCATCTGAGGGTAGGCTGACATATTTGTTTGCCATAGGTAGCCTAAGATCATATTATGTAAATGGAGTACATGCTGTATTTGCTGCATAGAAATTTCTATGAGCAAATACAAAAAAGCATTATTTAAGATGTCCTCTGCGCCACAATTGTGACGACATTTTGATAATTATTTTTTCCTACTTGTTGCGAACGAAAAAGTTAGTTGGCTGATGCTTGCTTGCTCTCTCTTTCCTACATATATGTAGGAAAGATGGCTTACCCGGCTCCGCCGTATCCGGACCAAACTTGGCACACATACACTTCGGGCCCTGGCGGGTGTCACAGTCCACTTTTCGTTATCGATCGATGTCGATTTTACCGATTTTTATCGATTTTTTTGCAGAGTTCACTTACAGGGCTAGGAGTTGGCACAGGGGGCGAAGTGAGCATGGGGATTCCGAATACAACATTAGTTTTCAGGATCGTCCATTACTTTTATCGATTTTATCGATTTTTTTTGTAAAGTTTGACCTGCGGGGCTGGGAGTTTGCACAGGGGGGTAATCGAGCATGCTGATTACGAACACAATATTAGTTTTCAGGATCGTCCATTACTTTTATCGATTTTATCGATTTTTTTTGTAAAGTTTGACCTGCGGGGCTGGGAGTTTGCACAGGGGGGTAATCGAGCATGCAGATTACGAACACAATATTAGTTTTCAGGATCGTCCATTACTTTTTCGATTTTATCGATTTTTTGAAAATTTGAGCTAGGGGGCTGGAATTTGGCACAGGAGTGTAATCGAGCATGCTGATCACCCCCCTTGGGGGTGATCAGCATGCTCGATTACCCCCCTGTACCAACTCCCAGCCCCCTAGCTCAAACTTTGCAAAAAAATCGATAAAATCGATAAAAGTAATCGATAATCCTGAAAACCAATATTGTATTCGGAATCCCCAGGCTCGATTACCCCCCTGTGCGAACTCCCAGCCCCCTAGCTCAAATTTTGCAAAAAAATCGATAAAATCGATAAAAGTAATCGATAATCCTGAAAACCAATATTGTATTCGGAATCCCCATGCTCGATTACCCCCCTGTGCGAACTCCCAGCCCCGTAGCTCAAACTTTGCAAAAAAATCGATAAAATCGATAAAAGTAATCGATAATCCTGAAACCCAATATTGTATTCGGAATCCCCATGCTCGATTACCCCCCTGTGCCAACTCCCAGCCCCGTAGGTGAACTCAGCAAAAAAAATCGATAAAAATCGATAAAATCGATATCGATCGATGACGAAAAGTAGCCTATGACACCCGCCGGGGCCCGTAGTGTATGTGTGCCAAGTTTGGTCCGGATCGGTTCAGAAATGGAATTTTCTATTCGGAACATACGTACATACATACATACATACAGACAGACATACAGACAGACATACAGACAGACATACAAACAGACATTCAGCTTTATATATAAGATATAGAAAACACCATTAGTCGCTGTTTTAAAAAACGGGTGTGGAAGACATTTTTCATGAAAGGGTACAAATGTGCATTTATTAACATATTACACCCTTACCCATCTCGTAATTACACATAGCTATTAGAGATATTAGAGGTATTAGGCCGTTCCATAATTTCGTAGCGTTTCCATAAACCAATGAAATGACAAAGTTCTGTCGGAATTCACTACTCGATAATGTATTCTCCGTTACTGCGCGCAACCTTCTGCCCCCTTGCCGTTAGATTTTCAATTTCAATTTTCCAAAAATCAGCAGGGCCGGTTTCAACAAAGTCGTCTAACCAACACCTCAGATCGTCTTCAGAGTTGGAACGGGCACCATTCACACGGTTTGCAAGGGAGCGGTACAAAAGATTATCTGGTGAGGCGAGGTCTGAAGAGTATATCGGATGCTAATATGTCTCCATCAAGTCTTACAAGATAGTTATAACGACGTTTGCCGTGAGCCATGTTGTCATGCAGAGAAATTCACAGGACTTGTCTTTTGAGTCATTTTTGCAGTAGGGATTCATTTAGACGGCACAATTGGACTGCTTACGTATGCGCGACCGTTTTATTCTTGTCTAGCATTTTTCAAAGAACGTCCTGAACGTCCTCCACATGCTAAAGGACACCCTGCAAATTCTTTTTGCCTCATTTTGACGGGAAAGCGCCACTTTTCATATTCGGAAAACATGCAAAAACATTTTTTTCATGAGAAAAATTGAGCAAACGCCGGAAATACTTCTTTCAAAATTTCCACATTTGAATGCTGAAAAATCGAAGAGGTTCAGCTTTCCTTTGAAACCAATCGTTTCGTTGTGAAGAGCTTGGCTCTTTCCAACAATATGCGCATCTTCCCGCAAAACAACCCTTACCAAATGAGGACAAGAATGAAAACGCTACGAACTTATGGAACGACCTAATGAATTTTACTGAAGCTGAGGGGATTGTATTTGAAGAAACTTTTCTTGAGCATGATAGTACTTTGGCAGCCTGGTTTCAAGGTTTGAATTTTATTACTAGCAAGTTGTTTCAGCTACTTAGTAAGATTCAAGAACAGTGCTTCTAGATAGCGTTTATAATACTGCATAAGTGCGAAATCAGAAAATAGCTTTGATAAACACTGGTCAGCTTCAAATGGAACATCTTACAAGGGAAGGATACTAACTTAGATTCGCCTTTTGAGATGAGACGCATATGTTTAGAATCAGCTTTGAAAGCTGATTCCAAATATGTTGTTCCTAGTCGCTTAGCATTATTCCGGAGCGAGTTATAGGCTTGGTGTTGTGAGTAATTGAAAAAGTTCTGAATGTCGTAAGACGGCGTGTTGCTAAGAATCTGCTCGAAAAAAGTGCTAGGATGTTGAACTACCATCAGATCAATTCTTTCAATCTTGAAAGGGAGCATTATACAATTGCAAAACCACCTAGACGTCGACACCGTAGCATCCGTAGCTCGAGGAGCACGCAAACTTTGCCTAGAAAAGAGACCATAACTCGCTTTAGAATAATGCTAAGCAGCTAGGAACAGCATATTTAAAATCAGCGTTCCAAGCTGGTTTTAAATATATGTGTCGCATCTCAGTAGGCGAATCTAAGTTAGTATCCTTTCCTTGTTAGAATTTTCTGAAACTGAACGGAACTTTGTTCCAAAAACTCTTTGTTGCACCTACTGCCAAACCTGTCTGGAATGTAATTCCCAAACTTAAAAAAGATCAAAACGGCATTTACACAAATCTTTCTTCACTTCCAAATCATTTCAAGTGCGTAATCATTTTCGAACAACTTGAAATGCGGTGCACACCTCCGCGCAAATACGAAGTTTTTAAAGTCAGGTAAGCTAAACTGCACAAAGTTTCACCACTTCTGCACAAGTAGCGCTGGTTGTATGTATTTACTCAGACAATTTCTCGGGAACGCCGCGGGCGCTTGTAGCACCAGTCATCCATGCCGGCTGCCCGGTAAACCGTCATTGGACATGATTGATGACGGCCGTCCCATCGTGTAAGTAAACGCTAGCGGTCATAGTTGACCCGCTTAACACTAAGACCTAGGAGAAGTGAACTTACATCATGTCCTCCATGATGAAGTCTGAGACAACTTGAGCGCAGTTTGACTGCTTACTCATCTGCGGACATCATCTAACCTTAGTGAAATCGTGCAACCGTTGGACTTTTTTCGGCATAAAAACCCAACTCTACCAGAGAAGATCAAACTCAAAAAAGATACCCAGTCTTATAAACACTTAGAGAACGCCACAAATGCGGCGTGTCTAATACGAATCACGCCTGCGCTAGCAGTATGTAAGAGCGGCCTCTAATAAGGACGGCGACTCGCCGAGTGCCTGGTAGGTCGCGAAACTCAACTTCTTTGTCTCGAGTTTAAATTTGGCCGCGGTGCTGCCGGTAAAAGATACATGAGCCGCAGCTTGCCAGGTTGAAGTTCAAGAGGCAAGGGTTCGTCACGCGGAGATTCGAGGGCTGCGGCGCGCCACGTAACATTCGTTGGGTGTATATCGAAAGGCGCGCGTTTCGGCAGTCGTTATTGCCAGGAGGTGCTCGTACTCTACAAAAGCGAGGTTTCCAAACTCCTAAAGTTTTGTCATCATATCAGAAATAATAACAGAGGATTACTAGTTGAACCCCGGTAGTTCAAAACCAAATTCGAACTTTTTTTTGGTTTTTCTGATTAGTGACAATCGATCAATACGCGCCATTCGACCGTCTGCCACATTCTTTGGCCCGCGAACTTTCCAACGCAATCATCTGACAAGGGAAGTTTGTTTAGTCGAAGTGGCCTTTCTAAATGAGATGTATACCATATTGAAGGGCACATAAAACGCTGACTCCAAATCTGCCTTCCTCATCTGCAGAGCGTTCATGCACGAGAAGTTATGAGCTTTTTTTAAGCCAAAAATTGAACGTGCATTTTGGATAAAATGAGACGCTAAAATCTTACTAGCCCTCAAATAATGCAAACAAGTGTTAGTTTTTATTTGTGAGTTTTTCTAAATAAATTGCTCTGATGATTATCGCTGCTCCATTGAAGAGCTAGGAAAAGTTTTTTTGGCCATTTTTGTCCTACTTGCACATTGAATTTTTGGTCTCAATAAGCGCTCATAACTCTTCGTCCATTAACTCTCTGCAGATAAGGAAGGTAGATTTGGAATCAGCAACTTATGTTCTTTAATATGATGTAAGTCCCATCTAAAAAGGTCACTTCGACTGAACATGCATTCCTTGTGAGTTACCAGCTTATCGATTAGTAATCACTAGCCGGCAAACCGGCTCCGCCCGGCCCTGTCATTATTATATTCGTAATCAGCATGCTCGATTACACCCCTCTGCCAAATTCCAGCCCCCTAGCTCAAATTTTGCAAAAAATCGATAAAATCGACATCGATCGATAACGAAAAGTGGACTGTGACACCCGCCGGGGCCCGAAGTGTATGTGTGCCAAGTTTGGTCCGGATCGGTTCAGAAATAAAAAATTCTATTCGGAACATACGTACATACAGACAGACAGACAAACAGACATTCAGCTTCATATATAAGACTAGCTGGTGGCCCCGGTCTCACCCGAGACTTCATGTTAATTAAACTAACAGAACGTGTGAACTTACGCTTCTAAATTTCTTCTAATATGCGCATAAAGCGCTTTAAAACGAATTGCCACACCCTCCCGACTTTAAGGTTGAAATAAACTTTACCATCTTTGCTTACATGCTTATATGGAAAAATGATCGGTTGGCAAGATAGGCTTTCATTTTCTAGGTTTAAGTAGACAAATCAATAAATCGATAGAAGGGCCCGTTGAATCGCCGCTAAAAGTAGCCCTAAACCACCGCCGGGGTCGAAGACATACGTGTGCGAAGTTCCAGCTCAATCGGTTCTGCGGCTGGCGTTTCTATAACGAACGAACAGATAAACGAACACACTTACAAAGTTTGAGTTATATATATATATATATGTATATAGATTTGAAAAGTTGAAAGAGCATTGCGAGACCGACGCAGGTCAATTCGAAGGCTCGGACATAAAGCTCTGATTTTGTCCGTGATTTGATAAAAAATGGTCAGAATTCGATATAAGGATGCAGAGCTTTGTTGTGATCATTTCGGGAAGAATTATGCTCTATAACAGCTTTTCAAACCTGTCAAACTAATCCGTATTTAGAAGTTCCATCAAAATTACTTGTCCAGTCACTGATGGTATAAGATTCAAAGGAATCTCAGTATCCCATTCAGAATCCCAGAATCTCATTCATTATATGCACGAAGAACTCGTACGAGGTCATACTGTGTAGCAAACCAAAAGAAGATCATACTATGAAAGCTTTATTTCATGTGCTTTCTTTTGGTTGGTAAATGTTAAAGACCACAATTTATCTCATTATATGTCTTCACAATAATTGTCCGTGTCACATGTTTGTGTTTGACAGATGTATTCTCTTGATACCAGACAGTCCTCGCTTACCCGTTCAAACTGCAATGCAAACGATAAATGATAAACGATAGACGAACGATAGTCTTCTAGTGCTGCCGATCAATGGGTAACCGCTTCACAATTAAAATGATATTTACAGTTCTTGTTTATGAAAATGATGATTAAAAAAATTGGATTGGCAGCCGCACAAATTCGACGATGGTATAGTGGCAGAAGCGGTCACAAAAAGTTACTGCTTCATTACATAAAGTCTGTTTTTTGACGTACATTAAAAATCCTCACAGATAAATGTGCAAAACAAGGTGAGTGGTTTTACCTTAAGTGGTATTGAACCTGCAGGCTGGTTCCAATAATATTGGTCCATTTCCGCATTGTAAGACAATCCAACGTTGTGAGCAGACAGACTTTTATTTCCGATGGTTTCTTAAACGTGGTTCTTCGGCCTACGATTGTCTATCAGTGATAGAATATTAGAATATAGCCTTACGAGCGAGAAAACCATATTCGGGACTATTCGGTCCACTACCATGACAATTTCCCTGGAAAATCCGACCGCAGTCGCTTACTGACTTCCAGCTTGCATCTTTTTCGCCTGCAAATTTTAAAATTGCCATGAGCACGAAAAAAAAGTAATCTTACCGATTTGTAAGCAAACTCCGTACTTCCTAATTTTTCTTCCAATCAAGGCAGTGTAATGGTGCCAATGCGATTTGCAGAAGCAATTAACTCAAAGTTAACAATTTTTGAGATTCTACAACTAAAGAAATTACCTTCGCAGAGTGCTTGCTTTATTGACCTTGATAAATAGAGAAGTCGACTGGTAAAGAAATGTCCGGGTGAGGCAATCTACAAAAAATCAAAGATAAGAAAATACCGCTAAAGCTGTGCTTATTACCTCAACCATTCTTTCTAAGGCATCTATCTTTCCTCCTTGATCAAACGCCACAGCCACAATATCTGTTCCATTGCGTCTGATTTCCTCCGCCAATTCTCTGGCATCATTGAAGTCCTTGTCTCTGAACACAGATAACCTATTTTGACATACGATTGGTACCTTCACACTGTCCAACCTACCTGTAGTTACTTGCATAGACAAGAATCACTGGTTTCACATTCTTTCTCAGGTTCTGCTTGCGGCCGTTATTTAGGAGTTTGTTGGCTACAACCAGTGCCCTGAACATCACCGTGCAAAAGATCAGGAGTTGTATCCCCGAAGAAAAAAAACTAAAAAATTGGAAACTTGTTCAACATGCCGACTAAGAGTTGCTTCATAGTGTAAAATGCATGTAAATTGCGACCGAAGGGATACTGTGTAAAAGATTACATCTGGAAATTTCTGAGGGTGGAAGCTTCTGATACCGTTAGAAGTTCTTGAAGTACTTAAACAGAGTCTCACGTAATGCACTTATGAAGTCTGCGTGGTTGAGTAATGCATTTTATGACGTAAACACTCAGTTTCTAACATTTCCAATAATCACAAAGAGTAAAGAAGTATGCTGTGTGAGCATCTTGTTTTCTTCATTGCTACCAAATGCACGTAGTACGTAAACAGTAGCATTGAAACATCACAATGCATACTCCTTGCGTGAATGCCACATGAGGAGTGTTGTCCAGGTTAACATTGACTTCAAAAGCGCATATCGTTTTGGTGAAGGGCGGGCTAAGCAGGCTCGAAATGGTCCTATAGCTCAAAGCTCAGTCACAGCGGCAAAAAATGTGACGATCGGGTCGTTATTATTATACAAAGGTATTCCAAAGGATGATATATTTGCCTTCAAACCAAACCCTGTTACCGTATTTGGTGTAGACGCCTTGGGGAGACGGCCCTTCTGAACCCACCGTCTACTACAGTAACCCCGCAATAGGACGCAGGCGCCTGCGCTGAGGCCATTGCGGACGAGTCTTCTGCGGAACGCTTTATTTTCGAAAGTCTTCAGCGCACCTCGATTTCCCTTTCCAGCATTCAGATCTGAACGCAGTAGTAATCCCCAACTTCTCCAGTTCCATTGTGCTGCAATTCGCTCCATTTTGCTATTCTACGGCCCAACTTTATCCTGATCGTATCAACAAGGTTTGTTTTTCTTGTTTTATGTATGGTTTCTCATCTCATTTTGATTATTTTTACTGCCACATTTTGTTTGTGTGCATCCTTTCTGCTTCATGCATTGTTACACTTTTCAAAGTTGTGAACTGCATGATGCGGAAAGCACACGCGACCCGAACCACATTCGAAGTACAATAGATGGTTTTTTTTATCTCTGCACAATATAAACTTTGCACAATACTTAATAATTTATAGTTTTTGCTCTAAACGACTTTCGCTTGATACCAAGGCATTTGTTTGGTGACAACTAGTTTTTTGCGCAAACGCTGCTCCTTTCTCGCTAATTTTTGGGGTTGTGCATGGAGTTTTGCTTGCTATCAATCTTCTGAGCTAGATTCTAGAACTTCTCAGCTCTCTACAGTCACGAAACAGTGATACCGCTACTTTTACTTGCTTGGAACTAGGTTCAAACCTGATAAGTATTTGTATGGTTTACATGAATATAAAAATGCAGCCGCTATAATGGGCGCAGAATCAAACTGTGGGCGACAAACTGCATTGACGAGAATCTTGGTTCTCGGGTTATCAGCAATATTCGAACCAAAAAGTGTGTTTTCCCTGCAGGCTTCGTTTAGTTCACATACACAAATGAATGTGACGACACACGATGCAGCAAGGATTGCACACATGGTGCAAAAAGAGTTACCAGCACTCACCTTACTCAACCAAAGTAAAGTACTTCAGTAGTTGAAGCAAACACATCCCACAGATTTGATTGGAAGCACGTCAGTTTAGTAAATAGCAGCGAGTTTGTTAGGTAAAACAGCAGAAGAGCAGCGTTCCGTTGAATCATGCGTCTACGTTATTCTCTATCAAAGGTCCGGGGGAGGGAGATTATTGAGGAACTCGTCCGTTGACGCAGCGCATCTGCTTAGGTCAACCGCTCGCCTCATAGAACTGAGACGCGCTGACCTATCGCAGGCATAGCGATTAGAGCGGGTTCAGAAGGGCCTACACCCACCCGACGCCTTGGCATGCATGCCTTGGGGGCAGGCGTTATAGAGCATTGGTCTGCGGCCGTCCTGCGGCGGCAGGCCATTGTTCCGTAAGCCTGCGGTCACTTTCTGCGCAGCGATACCAGATCACACATGATTGAGTTCATAAGGTTAGGAAGATTTACAATGACCCTCACTTCAATGATCATGTTGTATACTCACATTATTTGATTTCGCATTTCAAATATCAGATTGTCCCATATCTTCTTGATTCTAGATAGGTTTCGAGGTGCCATTTAATAGAGCGCCAGCTCTACATGTTGACATTCTTGCTTTCGCACCATTCAAATCCATCTCGAGATTGAAACAAAAAATCAAAAAGATTCAACCCCCCGAAAAATGAAGCAAAAATCGAGGCTCCGTCCAAAAAAAAATCCTAGAAAATTGCTAACTTGCTTACAGATACACTATGCGCATCGGACATCTATATATACTGTTGCTGTATTTTTTCTTTGGATAGAAATCATAAAAACAAAAATTTTTATGTTTCCTACAAGTACAAGTACAGACATGAATTTTCAGCGCTCTACAGGCTACAGGCTTTAGTTCTTGGGAAATATTTGTTTTGGTATGGGAAAGCCGATTAAGCGAAGCTAAATTCGATGTTTCTAGAGAACTAGAGTTTGAAGAGAGCTGAAAATTCATGTCTTTACTTGTACTGATCTGTAGTATAAACTATCAATATAAGAACAGCACAGCATCAGCTTGGCAGAAACATAGGGCAGGCTTCTCTTGAAAAAGCATGCAAGCCGGTGCAGTTCGTTCGCCACATACGGTAGAGGGGTCTAGGTCTAGTTTGCAGATGCACATCATGCCGCTGCTAGGTCTTAGCTGCTGCTTAGACAATGTTGGACCCCGAAAAATTCTTCAAGATCTCCCCTTAGGAGATAGCATCTATGCAAGCTTGTGATTTATGGATCTCTGCCCTTACAGGCCTTACTGTCGCGCTAAGCAAGAACACCGGCTCCAAGTTATTTCAAACGTTCGACAAGATTTATTCGCACCCTCTATGAGGAAACCCAGGCGAGATTGATTGGAATAAGAAGTATGGTATCGAATTAGATAGTGCGAAAATGGAGCGGTACAAGCAGAATTACAAAGTGCATAAAAAGTATTGTCTCTCAAAACGAGGTAAAAAATCGGCGTAATTTCCAGGATTTTCTGGTGGATACGACATAAATCACAAGATGTGTAAAATTTTTAGCATTTCACAAATACTGTCCCGAAATTCTGCAGTTTCACCCGGCGGCGGACTCTTCGCAGCGCATCTCAGACCAAATCAATCTTTATTTTACAAATGAAGGAAATGTGAAGATTATTACCAGACACTTTTGGTTTCAAACATGGACTTGCGAAGTCTATGGCTTAAGGAATATGGTAGTGGTCTCCAAATATCTCGAAAGTAGCCAGTCAACAATTGCACTAGGAGAGAAGTTGTGAATTTTTTTAAAAGTTGCTGAGGAGCAACAGGGGCCGGAAAGCGTGGCACAGAGACCACCCTAAAATCTTGAAGATAAGTCCGCTTTTTTGACAAGAAAAATCAATGAAAATACACCCTCGCACCACCAAGAATCTTGTACCCTAAAATCCGGCATATAAGAACGGACTTATCTGCAGTTTTGGCAGGAAAATCGATGGAAAAACGCCGCAAAAGGTCTCACAGATAAGTCCGCCTAAATCCTCTCGCAGATACGTCCGTCTGTCCTGAGCATGAGCAAGCGCGACCTAGGAGCACAAACGCGCGCGACCGCCCGCGTAGCTTGCCGGTGTAGATTTAAACAAGGCCGCGAAATCGCCTGAAAGGAAGAGCCAAAGTATTCGACAAGCCGTGCAGACTAGTTGCTGACAGTTTCGCCGAGGATTTGTCATCATATACGCTGGATAGCTGAGTTCTTTTCTTAGATATAACATTTCTTGTGTGTTGGAATTGATGACGCGATAGTAAGGTAGGATTTTACCCCATTTTCAGGAATATTAGGCAGCGGAGGTTTATGATATAGGCTAACTACAGTACATGCATCTCCTACAAAGCTTTTTTAGAACGCTGATCGTCGCGCACACTCTGTTCCAAGCAGTAAGTGACGAAGTACAAAGACACAAACGGTTCGTAGTTTTGCAAAACGCTACAGAGAAGTTGTTCTGGATATCACATGTTTCAGCGATTGGAATCAAGCCGTGAACTCCCCTAAAAGAGACCGCCAAAGGATTCGACAAGTCGTGCAGTCTAATTGCTGACAGTTTCGTCGCGGATTGGTCATCACATACGCTGGTGGGTTCTTTTCCTATATAAGACAGTGCTTGTACACATGGAATTTTTCTGTCCGAAATATCATAATAGGTTTTCTCATTATATCATTGCAATCATCTCATCTTATCATTCATCTTATCGTTTTGGAAGCTACAATGTTTTTAATACATCTCTCGAACCCGTACAGGCTACAACCCTTGAACCTGACTCCTATACTTTTTGCTTCCTCTATTGTTTTCATGTTCTGAACGTAGTCTCTGTTGACCCATGCCATACGGCTTTTGTCAAATGCTTTCTTGAACGGAAGAGTGACAGCCTGAGAATGCTCAACCTTAGCAAAGCATTAGGCTTCCTTGTTCCTTTTCTCATCTGTTGTTTCATTAAGCCTGTACATCCAAGACAAAAGACAGTGTAGTTAAATTTGACGCCGCCTGCTTTTTCTTGTAAAAGGGTAAACCTTTCGATGATCAGCACAAATTTATAGGACTCCGCGTGATTCCAGTAAGCAATGACTGCTAACTCAGCGAAGTTCGCAATCACGCAGAGCCCTATATTTCCAACATACTCTCACACGCTGTGACTCAAGCTGTTCAGGTATCTCGGATCTCAATGGCTCCCAGAAGGAAGTCCTACACCGCGCTTTTTAAGCTTAACGTGGTGGAATATGCCCTGCAACATGGAACATCGGCTGCCGCTGTTCGCTACGAAGTCTCTGATGGTCTGGTTAGAAGATGGAAGGCCGATAAAGAAAATCTGGAGGATATGCCACTGAGGAGACGCGCCAACCATCATGGGAAGCCAAAGGTGGAGGAAATAGAGGAAGCTCTCTATGCATGGATTGTGCAGACGCGAGAAGGAAGCCGAGCAGTGCTTGTCAAAGACATTCGCGAAAAGGCATTGCAGCTAGCGCGGGAATCTGGCCACCAGGACTTCAGGGCATCGGCGATGTGGTGCAAAGGCTTTATGAAGAGAAAGGACTTATCTCTGAGGCGAAGAACCAGTGTCGGCCAAGCACTTCCGGAGGATTATGAAAACATCTGCGCGGACTTCAGGAGATTCGTACAAAGGGAATCGCTTCACATCTCTCCCCACAATCTTGGGAATGTCGATGAAGTCCCAGTGCCCTTCGATATGGTTTATTCAAGGACCGTGGATCAAGTGGGAGCCGATACTGTAAGGATTGACTCAACAGGACACGAAAAATCGAATTTTACCGTTGTCCTCTCTGTGACGGCCGCTGGAGAGAAATTAAGACCGATGATCATATTCAAGAAAAAGAGGATTCCCAAGGATAATTTCCCTCCTGAAGTGGTAGTTAGAGCCAAAGATAAAGGCTGGATGAATCACGAACTGATGAGGACATGGCTCCATGAGGTGTGGAACAAACGGAAATGCTATGTCAACGATCCCTCGCAGTCATTACTCATATTAGATTCTGCAAGGTATCGTTTCGTAATTTATCATTTCTTGAGCTTATCTTGCTTTTTTAAGGTGCCATCTCACAGAAGACGTCCGAGAGCTTTTCAAGGAGCACTCAAAGATCGCGGTCATTCCAGGCGGAATGACCAAATATCTACAGCCTCTCGACGTCGGCATCAACAAGCCCTTCAAAGACAATCTGAGGGCGGGATGGGAGCGATAGATGGCCGATTCAGCACGAGCAAGGTACACAACAGGCGGCGCCAGGAAAAGGATGACCTACGGAGAGGTAGCTGCACTAGTCTACGAGAGTTTCAATGCAATCACTGAAGAAACCATTGCGAACAGTTTCACCAAGGCTCTCGATGACGAATCAATAATAGAAGACATGAACGAGGATTTCGACGCTTTGATTGCTGCTGATAATAACGATAATGATGGTCGTTCTTTTGGTCAAGTTGTTGCCATGAATGTTTGTTATGATGAGCATGGAATGCTACCTGAATAAAGATCTGTTGCTTCGGTTCATTCTGAGACCAAAAAAGGCAGCGCAATTGCGCATCCTTCTTGTTTTCATGTGAAAAAAAAATGAGGCGGACTTATCCGCGGGACTTGGCGGCGCGCGAGGCGCGCGAGGCTGTCACGAAAGCGGACTTATCTGAGAGCTCTTTTGCGGTCTTATCGGCGAGGCGATCTTATATGCCGGATTTTAGGGTATAAGTCCTCCTAAGTCCGCCTACAGATAAGTCCGGACTTATCTGACAAGATTACAGGGTAGCTTTAACGGAAAGAAAACGGACTCATCCGTAGGCGGACTTATCTGAAGAGCCTTTAACTGGTCAAAAAAGCGGACTATCTGAAGGCGGACTTATCCGTAGGCGGACATACCTGATGGTAGGACTTATCTGTGAGGTTTTAGGGTAGTAATTGCAATCGTTTATTAATCAAAAATTATGATGTAGACAAACACAATGTTCGTTTTTCATTAATCCTGTTACTTTTTGTTGGAATCTGAAATTTCGAATCATTGTTTGGAATTCATTGAGCATGAGCAGATCGATTAGCCTCTTTTTGAGAATTTTTGAAATCGCCTAAGATATAATTCCCTTTGCTTAGCCAGAGTCTCAAGTCACTTCTCGTCCACATATAAAATCAAAAAACTGTAAATTTTATATGTAAGATGTTTTGGAAGGCAAACTGAGGGAGAGTACTTTTTCCACACCTTAAAATATGCACTGGCCTGTTAATGGGCGGAGGAGGATCCAAGATCCAAGCGGGTGAAGGGCCCCCTTCCAAAGCAATTTTTTCGCTTTCTATGTCAAATCATGACATCGCACTGGATGATGACTCACTTGGAGGGGGTGGGGGGACTGCTACGGTGCTAAGTGAAAAGTTCCCCCGCCCACCATCAGTCGAATGCTGCTTTGACATTGGCATAAACTCACTCCATCAGGTTTGGGTACATATCATTGCCGCATTCAATTTCCCATATTTTCTTTGACGCATCCTCATAAGACTGGAACTCGTTCAAGTCATATTTCTGAACTATTAAGATTGCGACAGTATTCGTAACAAACAAAAGCAAAAACTTGCCATTGTTGCTTTCTCGCCATAAGTGACCACACCAACTCGAGTGTGCTGGCCCACGCCCTGGGCAATTTTAGTATCTTCAAACACAGTCAGGACGTTTGCTAGAACCTAAGCCCCAATTTTGAGATAAGTCGTATTTGATTCAACGTGCCTGTGTCATTCCGATAGCCGTCATCCCTTTTGAGCTGTCAATTGCAACGACCACATCTAACCATAATCGCGAAAGGTTACAAGGGCACTCTCTCAAGGTACTAGGATCTATCAGCGGTACTGCTGTGAACGCGCACCCTGTAAAAATTTCTGACTGTTGGCAGAAATTGCCACTATAAAGTGAAAAATTACCGACTAGTACAGCGAAGATTGGCAGGATCATCATTGCGACTTCTTGAACGTGTCACTCTGTAACTATCCAACGCTACGACAACAAGGTACCGTTATCGCAATCAAACGAAGTTGTGGTCGGGAAACAAAACACAGATATATTTTTTCTTACATAAACAAATGACGCTTTCGACTTCATCAAAACAACTCGTTTACTGCCTCTATATGGTCACTCTAAATAAAAAAGATCAAAGACTATGGGAGAGTTTCAAAAATTATGTGGTATATGTATGGTCACCGAATAAGCTTTTCCAGTGTGTAAGTGAAAGAGTGATAGTAAATAATTTGTGTTTCAATTTACAGATTTCCTACGAAGGGAACATCTTATGTCTTACTCAAAGAAAGCCGCTTCAACATGAAGACACCACTCGTGCCAAAAGTTAATCACCGCTGAACATCCTTTTAGAATCATCAAGTATTTGCTTGAGGTGGTGCAGCCAGAATTTAAGGATTCAAAGAAACACGTAAAACGCTGCTTAACACGTTGACGACTTCTTGAGACACATGGTGTGTCAAGCAATGACTACCGCGTAGGACCGCTTGACACACCATGTATGTCAAGGCTTGAATTTTGGTAAAATGACTACTATCCTGAAAAAAAAACTCACTTCGTAAGCTTTCGTTTGCACAGAATCTAGGGATGACTTCTACCTTTTTTGTGAGCTTTACAGATCTACTGTAGGTGTACTGTAGATGGCAGTATGCATAATTATATTTGAAAAAGTGAACTGGTCCGTAAAAAGGCTTTGGTCCCAAAAGGCAAACAGTTGAAAATTTGCATGGTCGTCAATGTGTTAAAGGCACCGTTTACCCTAACTTGAGGGTGTTGAGCTTTTTGCAGCATATGATAGTAGGACCCCTTGCCAATTCAATACCCAAGTCGAGGCGCAAGATGTTGTTTGGGGAATAGCGAAAATGCACGAGGACACCCATCCATGCCCGCCCTCCCTCATCCATGCACGCCCATTTGTGCGCGCCCATCCAATTGCCGTTCCGGAAAGCTGGCCTGCAGGTCCTCCGAAATGGAGAGTGTCGGAGTTTTCGCCCATTCTCGACTTCATATTCGGAATCAGAGACATGAGGGAGCCCTGAAACGACAAAAAACGCGGAAGTCAAAAATCTGGGTGGACGGTGCCTTCAAAGAGGGCGAGCAGGGTTTGCATAAAACCAAGGCTGGAACAGACCGGTAAAGCGGTCGCAAAGACATATCAATAGTTGAATGCTCGGAAGCACGGTTAGAGAGACGACAATACCTTCGATAGTCTAGGGACAAGGCCTCAAAAGTGAAGGTTGTTTGAATAGTTCGTAAAAAGCAAAAAAAACTCTTGAAAATCGGATAAAAACGCTGCAATAAGTTTAAAATCTTTCATTTGGCGGCATTGCAGGTTTTCGCTCCAGGACCACGTAATCCACAACACGGAGAAAATGAGGAAAAGCTAGTTTTTTGTGTTTATTCCGAAAACAGCCATGTTTTGGTAGTAATGATTATCATAAGAAGATAAACGGGAAAAGAATTAGTTTCGAAAATGCAGAGTTTTGTTCCCCAAATCGAAATGTGCGTCAAAGCCAACCTATTTACCCCCGCATTGTGGTTCCCGTTTTCTGGGACGTTGTCTAAATTGTTGCGCTCATTATTCTGAGCAATAATTGTCCAAGCTTAAAAAAATCGCTGAGGAAGCACCGAACAAGGTAAGTAAAAACGCACTTTTTACGATTTTTCACAAAAAAATTCCGCCTTAATCAAAAAGATAACTGGGTCGTTGCCTGCATTATGAACAAAAGCAAGATCTATAGAATACACGAAAAATCGTGTGAAAAGAGTTAAACCAGGGGATAAACAAGAAATTTTCGAAAACAAGTTTTTGCCGAATTTCCCTTCCAAGGTGGTTTTGGGACGTTGTCAGCGTGAAAGTAGAGATCAAGAGCTTCAATATGATATTTAGCTTGCTAAAATTGGGTTCGAAACAACGAAGAAAAGGTTACCAAAGCCAAATGCCCCGCGCCCCGCGTTTGGGGTAGCGAGGTAGCGCGCAGCGCGCGGAGACGCAGACGAGCAACGGAGACATAACATGGGCCAGCATTTTCGGGCGAGAGTCTCTGTGTAAGATCTAAGTTCGCTTTTTTATTCGACTCCGACAGCTTCCCTAAACTTTTGAAACTCAATTTTAGTCAAATGAGAAGCTAAGTGAGAGATGTTGTCTTGAATTCTGGACAAATGTTACAGAAACCATCTATTTAGCGTAAAAGGCTATCAAAACGCAAATTCTCGGTTTTTTGAGATAATTTAGACCTATCATTCCCTATAATTGCTTCAGGGTTGTGTTCCATCATGGCGCTCAAAGTGAAGGTTACCAGAGTACATCGCTCTATGTGACCAGAGTATGGGGAGACGGATCCAGCATGCACATTGTGTCACCGCATGCAAGTGATACGGTGGGTTTGCAGTGTAAGGGGAAAACTTTTGATTAACTCCAGATGTTGCTAAAACTTGAGGAGTTATCAGACATGTTGATTACAAAAATAATGCTCAGATTTTCAGCAGGATGCGTATATTAATGAAAAGACTGTACGTGCACCTCAGAATGGCCTTGCTGAATTCGATGGAAAGCTGCTCTACGTTAGTTTTTCGGCTCTAAAAGATGGGAATCTTAAAGGCAATAAAGAGCATTTTCGGCCCCGGCGCATTCTTATAAAACGCGTTTTTGCATAGATTTTTGCAGTTATCTAGAACGGTGTTTGCACATTAATATGAGACATGGAAGGATTTGGTTGCTTCAGAAGACCAAGGATAAAAACAGGATGTTTTCTAAGACTTTAGTGGCAGGAAGTCCTACACTGCGAATTGCTGGACTAGAAAACTTTAACATGCCGTAGGCAGCTCAATCATTGCCTAAAGGGAGCCATATTGGAAGAGTTTTAATACAATAGACAGTTCCAGCGAGCTTGTCTGTCTGACCAATGTGCTTCTGAGACTTCCCACATTATTGAATAAATTTTGACAACTTCTCTTATTTTAGTTTATGAAAGCTCTATGGTATTATGAAGCGACCTAATGAATTCATTTTGTGGCGCAAAACGCTGAAAAAATAGAACAGCGTTGCTAAGGGATCCTTAATGCAGCTGACTCAAACTTGCATATTTGGGTACAATATACTGGGAGAGAAGAAAAAAAAGGCCAACTGCTTTTGCAGCTCACATCATAGTCCTTATGATATAAAAAACGAATTATAAATGTTGTATTACTTAAGTGTCAAACTGATTACGAGTAATAGAGGGAGTTGGCTGAAAAAGGACTTCGCCGTTTGCGCCTACCAAATGGATATCGAATGTTTGAAAATCGCTTGAAAGCCCGAAGCGATCTCAGACAGTCGAAGGGATACCCTCCGGCGAGCAAATGGCGCGGGTCTGCCACTTCGGGATCTGGAGCGCTCCGGAGCCCTCCCATTTCACCCATTTTGGTGCTCCGGGGCTCTCCCAAATTTGGCGCACCTCCGGAGTAGCGATTTCCCCGTTCCGGAGAGGGGTCCCATTCGCCTGCTTGTGACGTCACGGTGAAGTCACGGTACACGAATGGGGGTGTATCCCATTACTTGTGACTGTCGATTATATAGTCGACTGTGATTATATAGTCGCCGTGCGCGACAGGCTGGTAACAATTAGGTGCGCGGTAAACTGGGTAGCCGACCACAAAGCCATACTGGTCCTTCTTTGTAATGGTTTCTGCAATGCCACAACCATTTTCTTTGTTTGATGAAAGTTTGGATACAAAATTTGTAAAAAAGGAAGATAATGAAGGGAAATATGGAATTTACTATGTTTTTCATCAGGAAATGCAATCTTTTTGCTCACTAGAATGACCCGACCCTGAACATTTCCCCTGGAATATTTCCTCTGACCCTGTGCCTCTCGTCGAGGTTATCTGTAACGCCGCGTCGCGACAGTTTTAATTGACACTCACAAGTAATGCCCCCCCCCCCCACATATGGGACCTCTCTCCGGGACGCGCAAATCTCTGCTCCGGAGGTGCCCAGATTTGGGAAAGCCTCGGAGCACCAAAATGGGTGAAATGGTGAAATGGGAGGGCTCGGAGCGCTCCAGAGCCCGAAGTGGCAGACACGCGCCATTTGCCCGCCGGAGGTATCTCTTCAACTGTCTGAGATGAAAAAACAAGCCTTTTTCGAGTTTTCGCCAGCTTTCTCGCTTAAATCAAAAACTTAAGCGTTCTAACTTGTAATGAGTCCTCTACGACCTGGAAATGTGCCACGAAATCGCAGGATTAAATTTGGAGTAAACGAGAAAGGTAATAATCGCTTGTGATATGCACTTGACAAAAATTTCCTAAGTTTGTACACTCATGTTCAGTTCTGGCACAAGTTATGCGAGAGGCTTTGTTTGAAAAATATCACTTATAGTTTGTCTTGGTACACGTTAGGCTAGAATTAAAATGGCAGAACTAAATCGCAACCTATTCCGGACAGCGATAGGATTAGGTTGCTGCATAAGTTCTGTCCGATTTTTTTGCCTTATGTTTGAAGCAGCTATTTAAAGAGAATTTCATCTCTAATGCGGTATAGTTAGTATCGTTAGAAAGTGCTTTTCTTGCGCTTTCTGAAGCATATCAAACTTCTATAATTTTTTTAGTGGAAGGAGACTTCAGCCGTGAAATCTCCAAGTGGCCGAGGTACGTTCTCACCCTAGAAATACGCTCTTGCGAAGAAATCTCCACAATGCGCCCTTCAGGCCAAATTCTTTAGTTGGTTGCGGAATAAGGGTGTAACAGGCTAGGCTGCAGGCTGCATACGCATAATTTCAGTTTCATGAAGAAAACGTCTTGCTAGTGAAATTTATTGTCAAACATTAATTTTCTGTATAGATGTTTTACAAGTAATAACTTTCTGCGAATAGAAGTAATCGACGATTATAAAGTTGGAAGTGCTAGGGTAAAGCAAGGGCTAGCAGAAATCATCCACCAATTTCTTTTCGGCGCTCACGTCAAATTTAAAAATTTCATAAGTCGTAAATAGGCACGCACACATGCGCTGAAGCGAGGTCAAAAAGTAGCTGCTTTTTTGCTCGGTCA